GACTTCTTTCTATAAATAGTAACTTGCAACAAACGGATGAAGTCAATACGTTAATTCTTTAAATCCAATGAGTTTAAATGTCATGAAACCAACCATATGGCAAATAAAACAAAACCTGACTCCTAACAAAACTGCCCCCCCCAAGAAAAAGAAAGAAGAAAAGAAAGAGTATGCTTAATCAATTTTAAGCATTTTTATACATTATCATTACCTATGGTTCAAAAAAGAAAAACGCAACATACTCCTAGAAACTAAATTGTAATCAATGTTTGTGAATAAATAGTTTCACAAAAATGGGTTCTTGGTTGCTTTATAGTTCAGTGTTTGCTTGGTTTTGTCATATAGAAAAGCAAATGGTGGACTTTTCAATGATTGACGCCCCTCAAAAGGTATGAATATAAATTTGAATTAAAGCAGAGAAAAATACAGCTTTTTTTTTTTTACTTTGTCTAAAATATGTGTTAGACTAGCATGTCGGTGTACTATATAGAAATTCTAAACTTCCAGAACTTCAAGAATCACACAGTGATTTCCGGTTGTTGTGAGAACTGAATGAGGTACTCTATGTGAAGGGCTTAGAATATCAACTAGCATGCGATGAGCTCTCTATAAGAATAAACTCTGAACCATCTCGATTCAAAAAGGTATGAAACTGACCAGTAATGAATATAGATGACTAGGTATTTGCATACGATCAACAAGATATTTAATTTAATGAAACCTTTCACAAACCTCCATTTACAAACTTGGAATTCAAAGATTTTCCTATTCTGCCTTACAAGCAGAATTGTGAAGTCATTTGAGCCAACTAGAAATACAGCAGAAAGATGTTTACAACTTTATAGGAAGGATATTTCTAACCATATGTATGGCTCAAGACTAAATTCCAACTAGTAATTTTGTTATGGATCTACTGAAAAAAACTATTCTATTGACTAAGTTAATGGCTAGTTAATAGGAGCTACATTTGAGATTGGACCGATTAATAAATTGTTTAGATTTCATAAAATTGTCTGAATTTCTCAAAATGTTCTTTCATATCTGGAAATACACACACAAACACACACATGCACTCACATACACACACACACACACTTCTAATCAAAGCTAAGAACTTATTAAGGGTTCTTTGGGAACTATAAACTGAAACATCTATTGGTTGTTCTTCCCTACTGGCCATATTAACTGATATTATGTATTAACTACAACACAGAGAAGGTGATTTAAAGTGGGGAATATAATTATGTATATGAGGAAATGTTCTTCATATATACAGACAAATATAGACTATTTCAACTAAATAAAGTTGAAAACAGTGGTATAAATATGTTGAATGATTAAGAATTTTCAAGAAAAACACGATGATACCAAATTCTTATAAGAAATAAATTTTTGAATAATTTTTTGATTACCTTTCCTGCATGCCTTCACATGAATTTCATCTATTTTAGTATTTTAATCATGATGCTTACCATGATGGAATCATATCTGTTAAACATTTCTGTATACACTCACGCATATAATTTCTCCCTTTTCTTGGGAGTTAAAAAGGGAAAATGCTTCACTAGGTTTAATTAGCAACAGCCTCATTTTTTCTAGTGGGTTTTTCTCTTTGATATTTCTTTCCCTGTTTTTGAGGCCCTAAATTTGTTTTTGAATTTGATGAAAATGTGAGTGATTACACTAATGGAAAATATTAGTATTTTTATATAAATGCTGGTTACAAAAGATTATGGATATTAAAAATTTCATTAAAACTGGATTTCATCTTTTAAAGCATGAACTCAATAAAGAAAAAAGATTATACTTTGTCTTGTCCACACTGTTTTGAGTAATTTTGATACAGTGTCTCTGGTTTCCAAGCATGAATATTAAAAATAACCACAGCCCTCCTCAGTTTAAATGGTATGCTTCTATATACTCTGAATTAATAAGAGGGAAACCCAACGTGCCCATGAAACCTCAATTAAAAGGAAAATAAATTCACTACAAGGTAGCAATGGGTCAGCTTGATTCCCTTGAAATTCTGAATCTTTTTATATAAATCTTGTCATTTGCAACAACTGGATAGAACTAGAGGGTATTATGCTAAGCGAAATAAGTCAATCAGAGGAAGACAATTATATGATTTCACTCATATGTGGAAATTAAGAAACAAATTAGAGGAGCATAAGGGAAGGGAGGGGAAAATAAAACAAGAAGAAATCAGAGAGGGAGACAGACCATAAGAGATTCTTAATCATAGGAAACAAACTCAGGGTTGCTGGAGGGAAGGGGCGTGGGGGGGATGGAGTAACTGGGTGATGGGCATTAAGGAGGGCATGTGATGAATGAGCACTGGGTGTTATATAAAACTGATGAATCACTGAACTCTACCTCTGAAACTAATCATATACTATATGTTAATTAATTGAATTAAAATTTTTTTTTAAAAAGCTAAATAAATGTACTACCGGGAGCAATGGGTCAGCTTGATTCCCTTGAAATTCTGAATCTTTTTATATGAAAAAAAATGCTGCAAATTGCTTCAAAAATATGCAAATGCACGTAAGAATGTCAGAAGACTAACAACAGGAACAACCTATACAGTTTGGTGTTTGGTAAACCTATTAATATGGTCTCGGATTCAAGTTAAGTAATAAACATTTCCCCATTTCACAGGTATTGTCTGAGGCATCAAGAACGGAGCATTTGAAAGAAGTCTTAATAGATGCTGAAGAGCCATGACTTTGCAGGTGACTTGACTTACTTCCCTTGTGCTTTCACTGAAATGATGACAGGCCATGCCAAAGTACAATAGTGACAGAATCCACAGAGCTTTGGCACCCCTCTAGAATCTATGATACCATGGCAGAATTGAGTTCCCTTAGCCAGGAATACAAAAAGAACCATATCGTAATTAAATACTGGATTACATCTTTTATATATCAAAGAAAAATATGAGTGAAATAATAGTGTCTGTGTTCTTTTTAAATAAACAATGAAATATTCAAGAAAAAAAATGGAAAATGTCACTCAAGGGGATCACTTATCCAAACCTGAGATAAATTCGAGAGAGATCCCTGAAGATTGCTAAAAAGTAACATTGGCATTTTAAAAATCACTGTTTAAAATCATTACTAAATGCTTATATTTGTTCCTTTTTTGTTTTGAAAAATAGGAACATGAATGGGAGGAAAAAACAAAACAGCCACTATCTTAAGCACACTCATGATGATATAGCTCATTAGAACAACTCTCGGTGCTAAATTAATTCATGTGTACCATTTAGCCTTTGATCTTAAGTCTTTAGAAGAAGAAGGTGCACTTTAATTTTCAATTAAATTCTGTGGGTGTGATATAAGTGTTAACATCATCCCCATGGTATGGCACATAGTAGGAGGTAAAAAAATATTTGTTGAATAAATATTAGCTGATTCAGAGCAGCAACTAGCTATACAATAATGAGACTCTATCTCTGTATATGCACATGTTCTTATCTACATTTTGTACATACCATAACTCTTTATGTCAATGTACAACTGCATGAAATAGGCATCATATTATGGGCCAAAGAGACCTTTGTTAGTATATTAAAAATGTATTTCCTGAAAAATTGGTCTCATTTTAATAAATTCATGTCACTTCTATTTTGCATCTTTAAAATGCTTTATGGAAGGGAGAATGATTGTAAACAGTATAGTTCTATAATTTAAAATCATTTTTCATGGAGCATCCTCCCTCTCTCTTGCAAGACCGAAAGCTCCCTTTGATTTACCTAAACTTTAAAAGATTAAGAAGTGCATTAAAAAATACAGCAAAGTGGAGAAATAATAGAAAATCCTTATCTACATTATCAGAAAATCTGAACTGTCGGGATGTTATTAAGCTCAAATAAGATTTTGGCAATGAAAACTAAAAATAAGGATAACAGTAAGAGTAACTTTTCTGGCCAATCTACCATAAATGTTAATAAAACTGGTGCCATCAATGTAGGTGCAGCCCTTTGTCAAAGGTAAAGATGAGTCTTTTCTGTTGTCACACAGAAACTGCTATTTACAACTATTTTTACATATGTACATATTTATAAATTAATAATTTATAGTCAGACATGAAGGGGGAAATGCAGAACTTACAAGAACAACATTTTAAAGTATCTAATAATGAATACCAGACAAGCATTTTTATTGCTTGCCCTCAAGCATGGTGCACTTTCTTAGACTGTTGCACACTTTCTTAAACTCTACCGAGGATCTAGGTTATATTTAAGTGTGTAGGAAAATAGAATATCTTCTATTTCAGTATACGAATAAAGTGTTTATGTTAGAACTATTTAGATAACAAAGAAGCTGTAATTGGAAGGGAATTAAAGAAATAGATTTATTAGCTCATGTAACAATTTTATTTTATTAAGGATTACGGATTACCTTTTGTGAGGGAATTTTTAATGTCAAAGCTGTCTTCACGGCAAATTCTGTTAATAAGATGCATTTGTGACCTTGGTATTAATACAGTCATGCAAAGCACATAATAGAATCACACTAAAACAAAGAAAATGAAAAAAAATAAAATTTAAACGAGGCAAAGGAATAGCAATTTTTGTTGTGATTTTGCTTATTTCCGTAAGATACTCCTTTTATTTGATTTTATGAACATACTTATTTATGCACTATACTGAAATACTGTACAAAACTGCAAGAAATGCCACTATTTGACTACTTATGTTTCTACAAAAACACCATCATAAAGGTGTATCTATCAGTAAAAGTCAACTAATAACTGCTAATGTAGATGTGAGTCAAAAGGATTTGGGGGTATGCCAAAAATGTTAAATCTAGGCATGAGACACAATTGTTAACTTCTGTTAATACATTTCAGGGGCATAGAGAGTATATTTTAAATATTAAAAGAAAAATGAATTTTACATATTAATAATTAGTAATTATATAAAATTGAAAACTGGTTTCTAATTTAGCTATTTGTGTGTGTGTGTGTGTGTTCTAATTTAATTATTATGCATGTGTGGGGGTGGGTGTGTGTGGGTGGGTGTGCGTGCACACACGTACACTCATGTGCGTATGTGAACTAATCCAGAATCTGTTGGTGATGCTTTAAAGTTTCTGTTTAAAAATGTTCAACTCTTACCAAAACCTCTTCTGGTATACAAAGCTTGTTGTAAATTTGAGCCAGTGAAATCTAAAGTCGCAATTTACAAAAGCAGATTTACATTAATTCTTATCTGAAAGCGCTGCTTCAAGACAGAAAAATGTGCCAACTAACTGCCCTTTCCTTTGTAATTAGTGGCTTCTGAGTCCTGATGACAAGAAGCCTTAAGGCAGAATTTGCAGTAAACAGGAAAGAAGAGAATCGTGTAAGTGCTCATCTATATGCTGGGACACCTATGAATTCTCATCGGTGGGAGTTTTTGGCACAATTTTCTAATCCAATATGAATGTTGCTCCACAGCAGCCAAACTGGATGCTTTTTCCAGTCTCCAGCACCAAGAAAATTTAGCTGATCAATTTCAGTACAACACATACCTGGAAAGAGTAAGACATATCTGTCTTTTTTTTTTAATTTAAGGTAGTTTCCAATGATTAAAATAATCTGTAGGATTTCAATTATTACTCCCAAATAAACTCTAATGCTAAAATGTAATGACCATGACATTCCGATAGTTATTAAATTCTAGGCATAATTAACATCCTGTCAGGAGTGACTCGTAATTATTTGAGCTTGTCATGCGGTAATATGTTGCTATAGATGCTATACAGAGTAATTAAAAGCTGATTTCAGATCTTTAGTTTTTCTTCTGATGTGTGCTAAGCTTCCAATTACACTAGCAGGGATTCTGAGCACTCATGAAGGGAACTGATGTGGCAGATACGAGGTTCTGTGATTTAGAAGAATTCATCTTGGAACGACAGTGTTACCTTACGTTATAGTTAGGCAACAGGAGAAAACAGTCCTATTTAAGACCTAAATCAAAAGAGTTCATCAAGTGTGGTATGGGATCCCCACTTTCATCACTAGTAGGAAACAAATTAGATCATGTGAAACCCACTATAAACGAGTTCCTAGGGTAAATCTTTTAAAAAGGCAATGGCTCTTTGGGAATGGGGTGCTTTCTGCCTGTAGTTCCACAAGTTAGCAAATGCGTGTCTCCGTTAGAGGTCTACTGGTAAGCTTTATAGCTATATACATACTGTACATGTTGGTTCACAAATTAGCAGTTATTAGTCAGACTGTACATAGCAAAACAAACAAAGTTCTATGTTGCTATACATCCCAAAGATAACCTGTGTCTAGATTCAAGGACTGACCCCTAATACAGGTTCTCTGTTTAAATACGTAGCCCAGTAAACTAAATTAAATGTACCAAACAAAACTGGGAAAACTATTCTAGACATTCTGTCAATTTTGCTAACACTGTTGAAGGTTTTCTTGGCCTCCGCTGGCTTGTTTTCCGGCTTCTTATTGGGTTCTGGCGTGGTTGCACTCTTGGAGATGGTGGAGAGAACTGGGTCTTTTGAAAGATTCGGGGCATAATTGGCAACAGCCACCGCATAAGCATTGTTCTGTATCATGACAGAGGCTTTTTCTTTTTTCTATTGAGAAATACAAGAATTAACACAATGTGGGTTGAGCCTGCTACTTAACATTTTCCAAACTCCAGTTCAAATTCTGAAGAAAAGTATCTTGATAAACATCATTATCCATTAGAAAGATGAAGTTTAGGGAAATAAATAAAAGGAGTCCTGAAACCATGAGGAAAGCTCCAGAGTAAAATCAAGGATACCATTTTCTTGGAGAACCATTTTTTGTTGTTGTTTACATGGAAAAGAAACAATCAAAACCACACATCTAATAAACAATGCAACATTTTGACTCTTATAAGTTATTCAAATATTTGCTGAATGGATGAGAGAATGAATAAATGAAATGTAGAAATATTTTAACAAGAGGAATGATCATCTACAATGACCACAATTTCTGAATAGAGAAATTTAACTTCCTTAACTAGATAACAGGATTTCTCTCTTTCGTGTCAAACGCTTTACTCATATGATGGGAAACTAACCATATACAGTTGGCAGTGAAATAAATATTAAAAATGTGGGACAAAGATAATATACAAACTTTGCTTTTTGCCTAGCTCATCCACAAACGGTTTCTCCTCCTAATCCCCACCCACTCGAATATGACTCACTATTACCTCCTGCCTGGACCAGATAACATGCTTTGTGCTCTCCTAGCTTCACTTGACCTTGTCCAATCATTAGAGCTTCACTTGACCTTGTCCAATCATTAGACACACTACAGCCACAGGGATTTTTTTTTTAAGACATCAGTGGGATCACGTCACTCCTCAGCTTAACTCTCTTAAACACTATCTCATGGGACTGAGAACAAAATCAGTAGTTCTTACCATGGCTTCTTTACTTCATTAATTATATGCTAGTCCCATGAAATAACTTCAGTTTTCAGGAATACTTTCTTGTTTGATGCCTTTGGCCATGCTACTTCCTAGCCTGGAGGGCCTCCCTTCCATCCTGTTTTTCATGTCATCAATCCCCTCTCATACTCTGGTCTTGGCTTAGTCTTGTCCTCAAAAAGACCTTCTTAACCACTCCATCTAGCACAGTCTTTTTGGCCATCTGCACTCTTCACAGCACTCAGATTACTTCCATCACGGCATTTTTCAGAATGTATAAATTCTTTCTTTAGTTGTGTAATTATTTGATTGACATCTTCCTTTCTCATTAGCATCTAAGTTCAATAAAGGCTGGTGCTACTTCTGCTTTGTTTACCATTATCAACTTAGCATGATGCCTTCCGCCAGGTAGGCACATAATATGCAGCTGAATTCATGAACCTTAAAATATAAATAATATTTACCTGCATTTCTATACTAGTATAAATGTCTTCTTAGTTATCTAAATGCAAACAAAATTGAGCCACCTATTAATTATCCAAAATAATGAAGAGTGTAAATCAACAGATTTAGAGGATCAACTGGCCTAGAACAGAATTTCGAATTATCAGGTATTTTCAATTAAGTATTCTCAAAATGTTCAGGTAAAAGGAGATAAGAAAGGGCCTCTGAAAGCCCAAGAGGATCTGAAAACAGGCCTGGATTTCTTGTCCTTCACTGGCATCGGGTTTCTCCCTCTCCTCTTTCCCTTGCTGATGAGGCATTCTTCCAGACCTGGCTGGAGTACAGAAGGAAAGGGTTCAGGGTCCACCATTATGAAAGCTACAAAACAGCTTTTATTCTGTAATGACACATGCAGTTCCCATGTTACAAATGGAGAGTCATCCCCGACTATATAACTGATAGCCAGATAATAGCTAACACCTTCTGAGCACTAGGATGTGTCAGGTTGAGTGGTAAGCCTGAGGGTGTCATTTGTGAAAAACTTCACTCCTGGAGAGGAGGTAAGTTCTATTGTTAACCCTATATTATAAATTCCAAAATGGAGGTTAAAGAGGTTTCATGACATAACCAGGTCTCCTGTTTACCAAGTGGCTGAAAGATCACACAAACTCAGATGTGTGTGACTTCTGAACTTCTGCTTTAAACATCATACTGTGTGACTTTCTCTTTGAGGAAGCTATTTGAAACCTGGGAGTACACTTTTACCTAAATTTCTCCAATTAAAGTTTGTATCACTAGGTCAATCCTCTAAAAAGACTCTTTAAACCATAAAGTATGTAACATATAGTGTTTATATTATCATTATTTCAATTCTACCTAAATATCATTTAAAATAATATCAAATTGCACTTAGAGAGAATTTGGACTTTGGGAATGTTCCTTAACCTCTCCCTGCTTCAGCTTCCAGGTGGAAAAAAAGGGGGGGGATAATTATACCAAAGCCATAATGAACTGTTGTGAGAATTGAATGAATAAATGAATATTCAAACCACATTGAAAAGCACAGCCTCATAGTGGAGAGCAGTAACAGTTATAACTCTATTACAAGCTAAACAAGAATACTGGCTTATAAAATGTATAGACAATATACTTTGTATCTTTGGAAGAAGACATAAACATTGCACGGAGGAACTCAAGAAAGGAAGAGGGACATTTAAGTTAGGTTAAGATTCATGGTGCAGGGCTTAGATATTTTCACAAAAAACTTAAATGCAAATGTCCTTTGTTGCAAGAGGAGTCTACAGATAGAAACTCTGTACTGACTCTTACCAACCTCCTTCCTGCCCAACGCAAATAACCTCCAATTGTATATAAACCCACAGGTGATGCTAAAATTATTTAACAAACTCTGAAGCACACGCACTAACAAATCAGAACAGGTACTTTAGCTAATCTGAATGAGTATCAGCTGTAAATACCCAGAGGGCTGTACCAGTAAGTACCGACCAAATATCACCCCTGCATGTTTGTATGTTGGTGTTTTTTTTTATCCCAATACTGTCGATACTATAATATGCAGTGTTAAAAATAATTTTAATGTATGTTTGTAACTTTTATTGCCTTAAACTACAAAGAACAAAATTTCATATTTTTTCTTCATTGCTCAAAGTATGGCTTCAATCTCTGAATATAAGTATAAACTTCAGAGGCAAGCTCCGTACCTGACAAGATGATGGCTTGACTTCACAATGCTCTCTTGGAACTTGGAAACTTGATTATTTTCAGAACCAACAGCAAGCAAAAGTGCAACAGTCATGAACTATCTGTAGTCAAAACCCAGTGGTGGACACCTGTAGTTTCTTACCAATTCATTAAATGAAGCACAGGGTACCCTCATGGTGCTAAACTTCTCAATTCCCAGCCATAGCCTCGTAAAGCCTTTCTGGCTCAGATCTTACAAAGTCTTGTTTTAAAGGATAAAATAACTCCCCTCAGTCCATTTGAGAGTAACTGTCACAAATCTACAGTAAAGCTAATTGTTCCTATTTAAAATTATTAATATCATGTATGTAGAGAAAAAATACTATTGAAGTCATAGCTGACTTACAGTTCTTAGATCTGCTAAAGCAAAGTACACAGATTAAATCCACATAATATATTCTATTACTGTTCTTTGTAAGACATAGATCTGCTAGTGATAGTATTAAAAAATATTCAGACTCTAGGCCATTACTAGAAGATATTACCTTGCCCTATTCATTACTAACTTCTATTAAAAAGAACCAAACTGACATATTATGTTTTAAATCCTCTTTGAATATCTATATAAGCCTCTGATAAAGGCAGACCATCAGCAGGCTGAGTACTGGGGCCAATGATTTTGACCTTTCTAGACTAATTCTACTTTATTCAGTGTGACCCTTGGCCTACACTCAGACCCTCAGCCTTGAAGAGAAATAGTGCAATGAAGTCTATTGTTGTGTTAACTCTTCAAACCAGTACTAACTGCCACAAGATAATTTTTTTTAAACTTTTTTTTTTTAAAGATTTTATTTATTTATTTGGGAGAGAGAGAGAGAATGAGAGATAGAGAGTCTGAGAGGGAACAGGGTCAGAGCGAGAAGCAGACTCCCCGCTGAGCAGGGAGCCCGATGTGGGACTCGATCCCGGGACTCCAGGATCATGACCTGAGCCGAAGGCAGTCACTTAACCAACTGAGCCACCCAGGCACCCGCAAGATAATTTTTTTAATGTTCATGTTTCTATATGAAGTTTTTGTTTCTTTTGAGAATTAGGCAAGCTCTGATTTCTACCTAATTTCTCATAGTCTAATTTGATCATTCTGTATTTCTGCTTTAAGTCTCTTAGGTAGGCCACTTCATATTAAGAATAAGGTCAGGTACGGCTGAAAATGTAAGTAAAGAAAAGAATGTTAAATGTGAAGAATGAGACCAAACAGAAGGAGAATAGGGGACATGAAAGCAACTGGACACTGCTATTTTCTATTAATTATAAGTAACTGCTAAGGCTTTTGTTACCAATACAAGGATAACTAACATAATACTTCTCATCAGAATTCTTACCCATTATGTTTAAGGTAGAATTCTCTATCAACATATTCCATAGGTAATTAAAACATAAAATATCCAGAAATGAACTCACGTTACTTTTACTCCCAACCTAATTCTGTACACCTTCCTGCATTCCCTAACTTGTGAATGATACCACAATTGAGCCAGGAACTGATAATCAACCCACACTGACCCCCTAGTCAGATCCATTTTATACCGACTCAGCTCAAAATCACTTCTTATTGCAATAAGTACTCCTTCCATGTGCTTCCATAGCACCCTAGTGTTTGTCTCAATAATGAAAAATGCTTTTTTCACTTATTTTTTCTTCCACTTGATTGTAAGCACCTCGAAAGCACAGACTGTGCAATGCAGAGCTCCTAGCACAGTTCCTAACATATAAAAAGGCTCAAAAAATGTTTACTTTATACCAAATGACATGTACAAGAATTACTGTGACCAAAAATACATATTTAGAAAATATATAATATATAAAATATGAAGTATTTTATAGAGTAGCTATTGATTAGATTCATAAAAACTAGATTCCCATTGTATGTCCTACAATTCTGCTATGTAATGATCTTGAAAGTCCTCAATTTTACTATTCTGCATGTTTATGGAAGTTGTTTTGTTATAACTGAGACTCATATAAGTGGGAAGGGGGAAAATGTGGCTAAACAAAAAATCAGTGAATTATGTATTTTTAGACATTATATGGGGAAAAGAGTAAAATATGCCGCTATAGAATTTGTTGATGATGTTACTGAAGTGGAATGAAAATGAAATATAGCCCATACTAATTAATTTTTCTATTTTTTTAAACAATGTTTTATAGGATTCAGAATATTCTGAATTTATTACTTTATTAGAATGTCTGAATATGTATTTAAGATTTCAAGTCTGGAAAATTCAGATTATAAAAATCAAAATGTCTTACACCATGGGGCAAACCAATCTCAGCTTCCTTAGAGTATTAGATAAAATAATGTGGTAATAACTTGAGAAAATGCCCAATCTAAAATATAGCCATCTATTAGCAAAGTGACCTGGGATATAAATAAAAATAATAATCACATGGTTTCAGAATTGGAAAGAATAGCAGAGACTGTCCTTAGACTAAGGAAATGGAGCTCTCATAAATGTAACACTAAATAAGAGAGTGTTTGGGAAAAACCCAAGGTAGCCAAAGTAGCAAATCTATGCTCTTGCTATATATATCATGTTGCTTTTTTAGTCTATTGTGGCCACTAGCAAGCCCACTAATTGTAAAGCAACAACATGCTCCTTGGTCAGATAATACGCTGTTAACTGTCTGCTAGCCATCCTGACTGAGAAAAGTGATACTTACAGAAGATTGTTTGAAGGTTATACAGTCCATCCACTTCTCTAAGTACTCTAAAGTCTTTCCTTGGATTAAATTGGGCCATGAGAAAGCTATATACTTGGACCATATTAGCTTAGCTCCTTGAAGAATTGCCTTCACTGAGTTGTATGTTAATGTAATGCCTTCAGCTTTTATTGAAGGGGACTACAAGAAACATCAATATGAAATTCATTACTGCGTTTATTGGGAAAATGTTGACATTACTTTCAACAGTACCCAGCTTTCCCTAATATAAAACCCATATGATATTGTTTTATATAATTCAGTGTAGGAAAATATTTTCCCTAAGAAAATTTATGCTCCCATTAAAAAAAAAAAAAAAAAGATAGTAACTCCTCCCCCTCCCCCAAGGCCCACGGTTTACTCTGACAGCCAAGAAGCTCAGAATTTAAAACTCAGCTTCTCTAGCTCTGGACTACAGTAAATGTTCTGGCCCCAGTGGTGGACATATTTGCATCTATTTTCCTTCCTCCTAATATCCTACTTCTACTTATGTTTATTTTATAAGAGTTTAAGTACATGCATTCTTTTGGTAAACTGCCTGAAATGCTTTTGGAACAAGGCAGGATGTTAAAAAATGCAAATAAATGAATAAAACACTTAAAATGTGATGTTTTCTATGAATTGCATGGCATGAATCACAAAACAATGACACATTCCATGTTAGTTCAGATATTATGTTGCTAAGTCTGTGTTTTAAGTAATTTAATATCTAGTGTGTTTCCATAGAATATACTTCTTTTGGCCAGTGTAGAACCACTGACTTAGATTTAGAAATGGAAATGATCTAGAGACTAGAGTTATTTACTTTTAATTTAATTCAAATAAACTATGTGCTAACTGTTATGCCAGGTAATAGAGAAAATGATGAGTAGGACAAAACTATTATCCTCTTAGATCATGTAGCCTACTGTTGGAAACAAAAATATTTACAGTAAAAGTATAATTTAATAAGGTTACACAAGAGGAATTGGTGTTGGGTGGCAATTACATTCATCTAAAAAGTTTCAATATTAAGTAAAATCAGATGGATATTAAGAAGTAAATAGGAGTTCATCAGTTAGGGAAGGAAGGAGGGGGCATTTTAGCAAAAGAGATCAGCACATCTAATGTCACAGAGAAGTGTAGTGGTGTGGACATTTGGGGATGTTTGTAATGGCTAGAGGAAGAATATGAGCATGCACTTTAGCTCTGTGTTCAGTCTTGGATGCACCACTTATCAGATGTGATCCTGAGCAAGTAACTTTATGTAACCAATCCTATAGTTTCTCATTTCTATTTTTTTTAAAGATTTTATTTATTTTTGTTTATTTGTCAGAGAGAAAGAGAGCGAGCGAGCCCAAACAGGGGGAGTGGCAGGCAGAGCGAGAAGCAAGTTCCCCGCTGAGCAAGGAGCCAGATGTGGGGCTCTATCCCAGGACCCCGGGATCGTGACCCGAGCTGAAGGCAGACACTTAACCAACTGAGCCACCCAGGCGCCCCTAGTTTCTCATTTCTAACACAGAGATATTCCCAGGCACATAGTAGGAAGTGCACAATAGATAACAGTAATATTTTCTTTATTATTCAACATATATATATATAAACTTATGAGAAAGCTATATATAGTTTATAGATATGTATATATATATATAGAAAGCTATATATAGCTATATATAGACCATATTAGCTGGACAGCTTGAAGAGTTCATTAGAGTTCAGCAGTTAACATTAAGAACTCAACAATTCCTTAAAGAGATGAAAAATGAAATGATCAGAGTCCCATTTAGAAAGATGACCCTAGCACTAACGTGGAGGACATATTGGAGAGAAACATGACTAGGGAGTGTGAGAAATAAAGAGACTGAAAATAATGAGAGACAGTGAGGGCATACTTCATGCCACAGAGACAGTAAAACAGGCACCATCTGATGGAAGGTCAGATGTTAAGGGATACTTCCAGGTTGTTGGTATGTGTGATTAGGTTTTGCCATAGATAAAAAATAAATAAGTACATGTGGGCAGGGGAAAGACAGAAAATCAATTTAGAAAGTTTTATTTTTGTTTGTTCTTTCTTTAAAAAAAAAGAGACACATAAAGATTGGGATGTTGTATTCACGTAGAAATGCCTAGGGAACAGGTTTGATATAGGATCTTGGAAGTTAAAAGGAAGGTATGGGGCGCAGTTGTAGATAAAAACTGTGGAAGGTAAGATAAAGGCATGAGCTGTAGATTTGATTTGGTTCTATTTCATTCATTCACTCCATATTTATTGAGCAACTACTATGTACAAGACCCTGTGAAAGGGTCAAGGATAAATGATTTACTGAAATAAACATGGTCATTGTTATAATTATCAATGAAGGAAAGGAAACATAAACATGCAATTACAAACTGTGATAAAGGATCTAATGCAAAAGGGCAGGGTACTACATGCATTTACAGTCAGATCGAATCATTTGGGGGATGCAGGGTTCAGAAGCTTCCTGAAGATGGGCATTTGTGCTGAGGATGAGTAAGGATTATCTATTTAGGGACAGTAAAAGGGTGGACAGTGTGCTTAGTGTTGCAGATATTCCCACAAATATCCCTTAAAGTAAGAATCACATAGTGATTAGTAAAGACAAAACAACAATAAAATAAAGCCAAATGACTGTCTTTGGGGAAAACAAGGGCAGATGCTAGGGAGACTGGATCTACTCTGAACTCAGGCAGAGACTCTCAGAATGGAATGAAGAGAGGCAGCAGGATCTGAGGGCAAGTGGTTGTATTCTGAGGCCAGTTTTAAAGCAGGAAAGAAGAGAAAATGCTGCTGAGCTCTGAAACACAGAAGTATTCAGTGGGTTCAGTGAGGATCCCTTGAGAAAAATGAAAAATTATTATCTGATCTGAGTATGTGGAGGTTATTGGTGTTCTTCAGTTAACAGGACAATAAATGGAAAGGAAATCAGATTACAGTGGGCTGAGAATTAAATTGAAAGTGAGAACAGAGACATTATAAGAAATGCTTTCAAAAAGCTGGAATGGAGAAAAAGGGTAGAATCTGAAGGTGGGGGAATGGGTGACCTAGGATCTGGAGAGAGTTTTGATTTCGCCTCATGGTAAATTAAGCATATGAGGCATACTCCTTAACTGAAAGGAAGAAGGCAGTCAAAAAGTAGAAGATGACTTAGAAGGAAGAAGAAAATACTAACTGATGGTTCAAGGCTGAGAAAAGAACAAGAAAGAAAGAGATGAAGAGCTGGAGTGGAAGAATTAGTCTTGGTCATGTGGAAAAATGTTGGGTATCAGGGGAGGTTCCAGAAGAACTTGGGGAATTTCATAAAATGATACTTTTATATATAGAAGGGCATAAAAACTGGATTTGGATCATTTGATCCAGCATTACATTTTTAGGATGATAAGGTTTTGTTCTCTAGTTTCATACCTGAGACTAAGAGTGGTATAACATCTTGCCCAAGATCACAGAGCAGGGCAGGTTGTGTCCTCTAACAGAGGGCTCAAATGCAGCTTGACTATGGATTGAGTGGATTTTTGTTTTGGCATAAACTAACTTTAAAGATCATCAGAGCACAATCTACATAAAAATTATGTGTTAAATATATAAATTTTTTTCCAAACATATACGACTGATATGTGTCTTTAAGACATTATTCTTATGAGGCAACATAATATTTGCCAGTTTACAAATGTTGAAGAACTTTTCATTTGCTCTTTGGATTGACAGATAATTTAACTGCATTTGCTTATGATACCAACTTCAAAAGCAGAGGACTTCTACCTGTCTGATAAAACTGGAAGGATGCCAATATGGGCAGTGGATGAAAACTCTGTAATTCAAGCAAATTATCATTTTCCACTTAAAAATTAAATCTAAGGAAAACTAAAGCAGAAGTAGCTGAAAGTAGACTATTGTGTAATATTTTTTCTGGCAGATATGCTAGATTGGGGCACTCTACTTGATTTCCTTTCATTTCTAAGGACCTGGTTATTTCCAAGCTAGGTTTAGGAAGCACCTCCCAAAATTCATTTGAATCAAGAAATTGGGTTGAGTACCCACTAATAAATTCACCATTGTCAAGTTCTAAAATCCATTCCATGAAGGCAAATTAGTCTTCTCATCAGTGTTGCACTGCCAGACGTAATAAGAGAAACTCATTTTTTCTTTTATTCAACAAAAATCTCTGAAGCGCCTATCAAGTGCCTGCCATTGTGCTTGGCCCCTCTAGCTATGGAAAAGTGATTAAGAACAAGCAACAGGCTGAATGTGATGTTCCCTTTAACTTAACCATGAACTTAAACCACTTAGAACTGAAATAGTATAGAATTTATTATTTTCCTGCAGATTAGGTTGGAACATCAATGATTTTGTCCTAGATTTGTCTTTGCTCTGTGTAATTTGGGATGTGGTTTGATTTAAATCCAATATTCCTTAGTACTAGGTTATTGCTTTTAGAATGCTTTATCGAGAATGTGTTTTTTTTTTTTTGCATTTATAAGTACCTCTATTTTCCAAGTTCAGAGAGAAGGTATTTTATTTGATATGCCAAATCACAATGTCAATTTGACTGGCACCCTCATAGCATTAAACAGTGACATATCAATAAATATCTATACAGAGCATCTATACCACAAACAACTATTTATCTTTTGTGACATATTTATAAACATGTCTGGCATTTATAAATATAACTGACATTTAATCTTCAAAAAAAGTTAGTATGAAAGTACATGTATAACTAATATAACTAAAAAAAAATAATTGCATAGATAGCAATGAAAAAGCAGTAGATTATATGGAAAATGAAAACATAAATCAACAGTAAAATGTAATGGAAATGCTGAAATAGCACAGAAAATTAATCAGATTCCCTTTAATATTCACTCAGTGCGTGTTAGTATGCAAAACATCACTTATAAAATGAAAAAACCCAGCACTTATTAAAACTGACACAGTTTATAAAATTAAGAAAAAAGAGCAAGACTTTTAAATTATAACATCAACCACTTCTATGCTTAAACTGCAATATGGTCCTAGAAATGAGAAAAAATTATATTTAAATAACTGATAAAGAAGTAAAATCATCAAGTATGTTATTCCAAATTTAATGGAAGAAGTATTTTAATAGATATATTGTTAAAAAGAAGCCCTCCATCCAAGTAGAACTGAACTATTAAGAAAACTTTCTATCTCATTGTGATATATCCCAAGCTTCCTCTTAATGCAGATGAATAATAATCTCTAAAACAAATGAAACAGCTATTATATTAATGCCCAAAACTCCCATTAGCTTCAGTACTTGCAACCTAAAAATGGACACCAATAATTACCAAAGAAATTAACCTTAAAAACAACTCTCATAGACTACATGAGCAACTTAAAATTTCTAGGCATTCCAGCACCTATTTACTTATTCCATACAACATGGGAGAGAAAATAATGTTGCCTGAAATTTTATATCCAAGCAACAGAGATGGGGGTAGGTGAAGAGTAACCCAATCCACTGATAGGGCCTGAAATTCTGTAACAGGTAAAGCTAATGTCCACTTTCTTTTCCAAATCTCTCGATTATAAAGCAGTGTGGTATTTAAGAGCATGAATTTAATGGTCAGATAGATCTGCATTCAACTATACGTATTAACTAGCTGTGTGAGCTTGGGCAAGTAACTAACTTCACTAAGCCTTAGCTTCTTCATTAGAACAATGAGAATTAAAAAGAGACCCTAATCATAAAGTTTAAAGGTTCCATGATAGAACATGTGTAAAAAACTTAGCACAATGCCTGACACACAGTCAGAGCTCCACAGAGGCCAGGGAGTTTGAACAGAAGTAATACTATAACAAGCACTCCTAAAGAATTTCAGGCAAGAGCATACTTTAAAAGAAATCTGTATTATTTATAAATATCTATATCTACGACATAGGTATAAAGACACAGACAATTTACATTTGAATGTTCTTCACGTCAATTTTTAGGAACGTATTTGTTACAAGCTAAATCTGTTAGGGGATTCTCTTAATCGTGGTGAGAAGGAAGTTCTCACTTACCTTGTCATTCACTACACTCTTCCCATCCCAAGCCCATCCTCTCTTGGTGAAGTAGTTAACAGTTGCAAATTCAATTAGGGCCGAGAACACAAATGCGTAACAAACAGCAATAAACCAGTCCATGGCAGTCGCATATGCCACTTTGGGGAGGGAATTCCGTGCACTGATGCTTAGAGTTGTCATTGTTAGAACAGTTGTTACTCCTGCGGAAAGACAGGAATCAAAAACATCAACAGATACTAACAAGGCAGAATTGGAAATATTTTCAAAGCTACTTTCACGGCCAGTTCTATCCATTAAAAACAAAAACAAAAAAACTGGGGGCGCCTGGGTGGCTCAGTCGGTCCTTCGGCTCAGGTCATGATCTCGAGGTCCTGGGACCCAGCCCCGCACTGGGCTCCCTGCCCAGCGGGAAGACTGTTCTCCCTCCCCACTCTCCCTGCTTGAGTTCCCTCTCTCGCTGTGTCTCTGTCAAAAAAATAAATAAAATCTTAAAAAAAAAAAAAAACTGGAAGAACAGTGCAAAGTTAATTATCACAAATGGCTATTATAATTCTTGAGGTAATCACTCTGAAATGCCTTCAGTTTTCATTTTTGTTTGTATGAATCTCCTTTTTCTCTCTTTAGTGTTGCTAAGGTGAAAACGACGGATGATATTGAACGTAGAAATTCCTATGAGGGGGCGCCTGGGTGGCTCAGTTGGTTAAGCAACTGCCTTCGGCTCAGGTCATGATCCTGGAGGCCCGGGATCGAGTCCCGCATCGGGCTCCCTGCTCAGCGGGGAGTCTGCTTCTCCCTCTGACCGCCCCCCTCTCATGTGCTCTCTCGCTCTCTCAAATAAATAAATAAAATCTTAAAAAAAAAAAAAAGAAATTCCTATGAGGAAAGCAGTTACTTTAAATTGATCCATTAAGGATTAACATTAATTTTTTAAAAATGCTACACAAAGCCTCACCTGAATTTGTTCAGCATTTATTTAAATCATTCTCAGCAATGGACCAATCATCCACACCAGTGATCACAATGGGACTATGATTAAGAAGTTCTTTATTCTAAGTATAGCTACCTAAATATGAAATTAATTCGGATCACTTGGCATTGTGAGCACAGAATTTCTTTCATAATGAAGCTTAGAATCTATAGAAAATAAAACAAGCAACTAAATCTCAAACTTTATAAAAATGCAAATCACTACTTTTAAGGAATATTTTATGCCTCTGTTGGTTTATAAAGTAATTTAGTCCCTTTCATTGTAAAGCTTTTCTGCCAGTAGTCAGGGAAGTCACAATAATTAAGTAAAAAGAAAGCAATAACTCAGGAGGTAAGTTGCAATATCAGCCGTCAAAATGTCTGCAAATACCTGTTTTAACAGAGATCCAATAGAAGTTTAGTTATGTACATTAGTAGGTACATTAAATTAAAAGAGTTAAAATGCTAAAGAAATGTCCATTCATATATTAAAGTTTTATTGTGTTGTATTTTTTGCTTTCCCTTAGGATAAATAAAGCGGCTTTTTCTTCTAATCTACAATAGAGTTAGTAATTCAAAAGAGCAAAATAATTCTATTTAATCATGCATGAGTGCATCTAGGAATATGATGGTAGTAGTAGGAATAAAAGGCAGAAAAATAAACTTAGTTCACCTGCTGCTAAGTCAATATTAAAAAACACATCTACAGAAACACATTGCTCTTTTATGCATCAAACTGAAAGGTTTTAGATCATGAGGATGTTTTATTTTGAGAATTTGGGACAGTAGAATAATTAAATAGAAGACACGAGAGATACAACCACACACACCCACAACCGAAACCATATCTTCCTCCAACCCCTATATACATGCCCACGTGCGCATTCGCGCGCACACAAACACACACACACACACAAACACACACAATATAGCAATGCAAATGACAAATCAATATATGAAAATATACTTCACTAGCAGTTAAAGAAATACAAAGTGATAATGACATACCTTTTTAAAACCATATAGTCAGCAAAATATTAGCAAACTTTAAAAGATTTATACTATGGTAGTATTGAGGGGCAATGGACATCCTCTCTGAATAAGAATTACAAATTGGTGTCATAGCAAAGAAACTGTTACCTAATCCAAAGTCATAAAGATTTAGGCCTATGTTTTCTTCTAGGAGTCTTATACTTTTAGTTCTGACATTTAGGTCTTGGCCCATTTTGGAATAATTTTTATGTATGGTGTGAGGCAGATGTCCACATTCATTCTGTGGCATGTGGATAGCCAGTTATACCGTACCATTTGTTAAAAAGACTTTTCTTTCCCTATTGAATGGTGTTAGGATTGTTGTTGAAATCAACAGACCATACCATAGCAATTTATTATATATGTCTCCTGAGGCAAGGGAAACCAAATCAAAAATAAACTATTGGAACTTCATCAAAACAAAAACTTCTGCACAGTGAAAGAAACAATGAACAAAACTAAAAGGCAACCTATAGAACGGGGTAAGATATTTGGAAACAACATATCTGATAAAGGGTCAGTATCCAAAAATATATAAAGAACTTATCAACTCAATACCCCCAAAATGGGCAGGAGACACAGAAATTTTTCTAAAGAAGACATACACATGGCCACCAGACACACGAAAACATGCTCAACAGCCCTGATCATCAGGGAAATACAAATCAAAATTACAATGAGATATCACCTCAGAATGGCTAAATTCAACAACACAGGAAACAACAGGGGTTAACGAGGATGTGGAGAAAGAGGAACCCTCTTACAATGTTGGTGAGAATGCAAACTTGTGCAGCCACTCTGGAAAACAATATGGAGGTTCCTCAAATTGTTAAAAATAGAACTACACTATGATCCAGCAATTGCACTACTAGGTATTTACCCAAAGAATACAAAAACACTTAACTAAAAGGGATACATACACACCAATGTGTATGTGTATGTACACATTGGTGTGTATGTATCTATAGCATTATCTACAATAGCCAAATTATGGAAACAGCTCAAGTGTCCATCAACCAATGAATGGATAGAGAAGATGCAGTGTGTGTGTGTGTGTATATATATATATGTATATATATATATACATATACATATATAATGGAATATTATTCAGCCATAAAAAAGAATGAAATCTTACCATTTGCAACAAAGTGGATGGAGCTACTGAGCTAAGAGAAATAAGTCAGTCAGAGAAAAAGAAATACCATGTGATTTCACTCATGTGTGAAATTTAAGAAACAAAACAAACAAGCTTAGGGGAAAAAAAGAAGAGAGACAAACCAAGAAACAGACTCTTAACTATAGAGGACAAACTGATGGTTATCAGAGGAGAGACGGGTGGAGGGATGGGTTAAATAGGTGACAGGGATTAAGGAATGCACTTGTGATGAGCACTGGGTGTTGTATGGAATTGTTGAATTGCTATATTGTACACTTGAAACTAATATTACACTGTATGTTAACTGGAATTTAAATAAACACTTTAAAAAAAATCAACTGACCATAGATATATGGGTTTGTTTCTGCACTTTCAATTCTATTCCATTAATCTGCACATTGATCCTTATGCAAATTTCAGACTGTTTTGATGACTATAGCTTTAGAGTAAGTGTTGAAATTGGGAAGCTTGAATCTCCCAAATTTCTTATTCTTTTTCAAGACTGTTTTGGCTATTCAGGGTCCCTTGTATTTCCATGTGGTTTTATCATAAGTTTGCTCACTGCTGCAAAAAAAATTGTTGGAATTTTGATAGGTATTGTATTTAAGCTACGATTTGGACACGATGACCATCTTAACTATATTAAGTCTTCCAATCCCTGAACATGGGATACATATTTATCATTTACACACACACACACACACACACACATATATATGTAATCTATTTAGAGATTCTTTAATTTCTTTTAGCAACATTTTGTAGTTTTCAGTGTACAAGTGTACAAGTCTTTCACCTTTAAATTTAAATTTATTTATAGGTATTTTATTTGGATGCTAATATAAATGGAAATATATCCTTAATTTCCTTTTCAGATTGTTCATTGTTAGTGTATAGAAACACAACTGATTTTTTGTGTTGGCCTTGTACCCTGCAACTTTGCTGAATGTATTAGCTCTAGTAGTTTTTATGTGGTTTACTAAGGTTTTCTATATATAAAATCATGTCATCCGTAAATAGAGTTCAAATTTTCCTTTCCAAACTGGATACCTTTTGTTTTTCTTACCTAACTGCACTGGCTAGGAACTTGGCAGTATAATGTTGAATAGAACTGATGAAGGCAGACATCCCTATCTTGTTACTAACATTAGCACAGAAGCTTTTAATCTTCACCTCTAAGTATGACGTTAACTGTGGGGTTTTCTTCTATCCACCTGTATCAGGTTGAGAAAGTCCTTTTCTCATGCCAATTTGTTGGGTGTTTTTATCATGAAAGGATGTCTTGTTTTGTTTTTTAGTGTTTTGAGATGATTGTGTATTTTTTCCATACCCCATAAATTTGTTGCTTACACTGGTTGATTTTTGTATGTTGAACCAAACTTTCATTCCTGGGATAAATCCCATTTGGTCATCACACGTAATCCTTTTTATATGTGGCTGGTTTCAGTTCGCTAGTATTTTGTTGAAGACATCTATGTATCTAAGGGATATTGATCTGTAGAGTTGTTTTTGTTGTTGTTTTTTGTTTTTTTACTTGTTATTTCTTTGTCTGTTTTTGGTTTTCTTGGTAAATGGTCCCACAGAATGAGTCAACTAGGTCCCTCATTTATTTTTTCAGAGTTTCAGAAAGAATGATGTTAATTCTTTTTTCAGTATTTGGTCAAATTCACCAGCAAGGCCATCTGGCCTTGGACTTCTATTGATTTTTTGTTGTTGCTCACTTCATAGCTTTATTTGTTGTACATTTGCTCAGACTCTTGAGTCATTTTTGGTAATTTATTGTGTCTAGGAATTGGCCCATTCTAGGTTATCTAATTTGGGGGGATACAATTGTTCACAGATTCCCTTAGAATCTTTTTTATTTCCATAAAGTCAGTAGTAATGTCCCCTCTTACTTCCTAAAGTTTTGAGTTTTCTCACTTTTTTCTTGGTCAGTCTAGCTAAAGTCTTGTCAATTTTGTTGATCTCTAGGGTAGTGTGTTGATTTTCTCTAATGTTATTTATATTCTCTATTCCATTGATCTCTGTCAAATTTGTATTAAT